ACGTTAGCCAGCCAGGCCGGGTATTGTACCTCCCGTATGTGCCCGACCGCCAACAAGTCCTTGACTTCTTTCTTCACAAAGTCCCTACGGACGATCGCCAAGTGCCTCTTCTTTTGTTTCACAGGCCGGCTCCCTTCCATCACAGCCAAACGATGGCATATGACAGAACGGTCAATGCCCGGCATGTCCGCCACACTCCAAGCGAAAATATCTGCATATTCCCGAAGAACTGAGATGATTTCATCTCGAAGTCCTCCGGGCAGATCTCTTCCGATCCGTACCATTCTTTCTGGGAAGGCTTCTCGGAGAACAATCTGCTCAGTTTCATCGCCCGGCTCTAGCTTCGACCGCTCTTCTTCCTGAGAGACCAAAGTGACTCTCTCAAATGCCTTGGTCATTTTCTTTACGGCCTCCAAGTAGCAATGTCGGGCCTTCTTTTGATCTCCTCTGACCTGTCCTATACCGCCCGGGGTATAGAATTTCATGCAGAGGTGGGCCATGGAGATGACTCCACGGACCTTGTTTATTCCAGGTCGGCCTAGGATGGCGTTATGAACACATTTGATGTTTACTACCACAAACCTCATTTGCTTCTGGATGACCTGGTCTCCTGTGCCTAACTCACAAGTAAGAAGGATTGACCCTTCAGCTTCAACAGAGTCCCCGGTGAACCCGGACAGGGGAGTCTTTAAGGGCTCAAGCCGTGTCCGACACAACTTGAGCTTTTCAAATGCATCCAAGTACAAAACGTTGACACTACTTCCTGTGTCAACGAGTACCCGGGAGACATCGACTCCACCCATGTCCATAGTTATAACCAGGGGGTCATTGTGATCTTCTCTGGTGGCGGGGAGGTCCCGGTCAGTAAAAGTGATCAGTTCCCGTCTTGCTTGTTTCGACCGGGGATTGAGGGCTACCGTCCCCATGTAGAGTTCTCGCCCCCACTTCTTCCTTTGGGAAGCAGAATCTCCCCCTTCCGGTCCACCGTAGATGACCTGTAAATGCTCTTTACCGGCGGTTTTCTTCTTTTTATTCTGCCCGGCCGGTTGTCCTTCTGGTCTGACCCATTGGTTCTTCTTTTGCTTAGCCTGGGCCAGATATTCAGGATCAATCTCACCGGCCTCAATCATCTTCTTTATTACCCCCTTCACACTGTTACACTCTGCAATGTTATGGGAATCAGTTTTGTGAAAGGAGCAATACTTCTCCGTCCATTGTTTCTCGCCGGTCAGTTTCTTCTCTGTTTTGACCGGTTTTACCTCCATGACTTCTGCTTTTATCTTACCGGGCAATGTAATTTCCTTTTTCAAGGAAACTTTTCCCTTTGAGTGGCCCTGCTCGGCTTCCCTTTTGGATGACACCTGGGCTTCAGCGTCAGCATAGTCCCAGGCCGTGTTATAGGCCTCTTGATAGGACTGGGGAGGCCTCCTGCAGAATTCTTTGTATAGTTCTCCGGACCGGAGCCCAGATACAAGGAGGGACATTGCTGTCTTGTCGTCCATCTCCTCCACCTTGTCAACCTCATCCTTCCACCGGGTGAGGAATTTTGTCAGATCCTCGTGCTCTCGCTGCCCGGCTGTACTCAAGTAGGTAAACTTTTTCCTCTTGGTACATTTTTCTTTGAACTTTTCTTGAAACACCTCAGCCAGTTCACCGAAAGAATCGATTTCACCGGCCGGTAAGTTATGAAACCACTCGGCGGCTCGGCCGCGGAGGGTCTGGAAGAAAAGCAAACATTTCTCATCCCCGGAAAGACCCATCATCCGCCCACTTTGATGGAGGGTTTTGACGTGAATTTCCGGGTCCTCCTTCCCGGTGAACTTCGGGACTTCAAGTTTCGCCTTCTTTGGAAATGGTGTTTCATGAACCCGGTCTGTGAATGGAGATTCGTTTAGCAGAATCTTCTTCTTTTCTTCTCGGTCTACCCGGCGTTGTAGTTTCTCCAGACGTGCCTCGACCTGGCCCACACGATCCCGAGGTTGTTCAACATGTGAACGGGTCGTGTGCCTGGGGTGGCTTTCGGCTTCTTCCTCTCGTGGTGCCCGGCTGTGCTGGGGCTCATCGTGTGGGGATGGCTCCGTTCGCCTGGTCTGACCAGGTCGTCCGGCTCCTCTCTCTGCACGATTAAAGGCACTAGCTGGAATGGTTTCTACCCCAAGCCGCTCTTTTGCTGACCGGTTCTGATTTCGGCCATCATGGCCAAGTCTCAGAAAGGCCGACCTCCTAGATCCTTCTGGCTGTACTGCTTTTCCCTTCAACTTCTTGATCGCCTGGGGGACGTCCCAATCCTCGTCTTTGCTGTGCACTGAACGCACATCCCCGTCCGAGGTCACCTTTGTCTGTGACCTACGGGACCGGCTCCTTCTAGACCAGGATGGACCAGCTTTATCCATCTCCCCGATCAGGTTTGTCGGAACGATCGGGCGAATGACGTTAGTTTGAGGCGAGGATTGTGGATACAATCCCGGATTGAAAAGTGAAAACCCTCCCGGCTGCTGGAACATGGACATGAAATGTCCAAAATTCTGAAGAGCCTGGCTGTACATTGGATCAAGGGGTCCGGGGAAATTTGAAGGAAAAATGGGAACAGGGTTCACGGGGGAAGTGAATGGGATAGGTGGTGGAATGGTGATGATGGGGGTAAGAACCTGGCTTGTCGGTTGGGAACTTCCTCCCGGGAATGAAATGACATTCTCAGCGGGAGTAGAAATTTGTGAGATCACGGTTTCCTGATTACTGGCCATGACTTTTTTGTAATAGGTCCCACGGGAGGCGCCAATTTGATGGTGTAAATTACCACGCAAATATTAAGTGTGAATAATCGGGAGGGTTGTAGGTGGAATCACCTGTAACCCGGTTTGTTATTAATGATAATAGGAGTTATTACAAATACAAGCCGTGTAGGTTAATTATAACATGCCTCACAAATGAGGCTTTTAAGGGTATTTATAATAATCCTAAGCACGTCAAGCACGTCTCTGATTATTCAACCGGTCAGGCAGCTGGCCGGCCCACCAGGTACACTTGAGTAAATCTTCGGGTATTGGCATCTGGTCTCCTCATCCAACCGGTCAAATAACCCGGGCTGAAAAAGACGCGTGCTGTTCGGTGAACCAACCGGGTGGTATCCTTGGGTTATTACCCATCAGTATCTTTTTTGAAAATAGATTCACTCAACAATTCAAGCAAATCTAAGTTATAACATAAATGTGATTGTTTCTAATTTTTAGAAAAATAAGTTTTTTTGTGAAATATATCAAACGTGACTAAAAATATTTTTATTTTAGAAAATAAGTAATTTAATTTTTAGGAATTGATTTTTGTCGAGGTACTTGTTATGAATTTATTTGATACTTTATGAATTGAAAAATAAATATTTTCAATAATATTTTACTAATTTTAAGAAATCTCATGGATCAAACATTTTACTCAAAAAATGAATGGAATGGTTAAAGAATGGAGTTACTTATTCTTAAGATTAACCCCATGAAACCCATGAAAAGATATATTAATTTTGTCACTATGAACTCTTTGTCATCTTGAATTTTTTTTTTGTTAGACACAAAATATATTTTTTAGTCACAAATATGAATTTGAAAATTTAAAAATAAAGAGTATTATTTTGATTATAAATAAGGTATAAATATGAATTTTAAATTCACGGATTATTTTAGAATCTATTTTTGAAATTTTAAATATTATTTTGATTATTTTTGAGGTTGACTTTATAAATTTTTGTTAGTCACAAATATGAATTTTATTTTTCACTCAATTGTATAAAATTTCATTAAGTATCAAACATCTTCCATAATACTGCATCTGTTTAGATTTAATATTCTCATTTGACTTTTTTTGGTCAAATTTTATATACTATAACCTCAATATATAGAAAAAAAGATTATGTTTCATTAGAAATTTATTACCAATAATGTAATTTTGAAACTAAGGAATCTCTGCATGTTTGATAGTTTTTATTTTGATAATAAAGAACATGGAACTTCTATTTTAATACTTTCTCTATGTGTTACTTCTATTTTGGAATTATTTTCAAAAAATTATAACGTCACCTCATTTATGGCATATACCCTATATAAAAATGAAATTTAATCTATCCATATCTTTATAAATAAAATTTGGGAGTTGGACTTCCAAAATTACGACATTTGGCACACTGAATATACAAATTTTTAACACCTCATCATCCATGTTATCAAGAGCATTAAGTGAAATTTTCCTTATTCAAGCGATTAATTTACATATAATTACTTTATTTTTTCAGAAATAAAATTATATATTAAATTTTAAATAAGAGAGCAAAACTTTGGCAAAAATGAATAAATTTGTATGATTTTTGTAACTAATTAAATTCCTTGTACATATTCTTATCTTTAATCCTTAATTATAAATTTGAGACTCAATCACTTAAAATTTCGACATACTTTTTTGACAAATCAACTGTCCACCTATGTTACTACCACGGGGTATTGATCACTTAGGTAATTCTACTTGGGCTTTTTTCAGTATGTAAATACGGCGTAGGCCTACTTTATGGTACAAAATTCCATACCATAATTACGTAAAAAAAGCATAATCTTCATTACTGAAAATATGTTTATAATAAACAATATATTCAAATTTTAAAATAAATCTCAAATTAAAAAATTAAAACAATGAAATATAACCTTTATCTATAAAATTTGGGAGTTGGGCTTCCAAAATTACGACATTTGGCACGCTGACTATACAATTTTTTTAACACCTCATTATCCATGTCATCAAGAGAATTAAGGGAATTTTCCTTATTATAGGGCTGAATATACATAATTACTTTATTTTTTCAGAAATAAAATTATATATTAAAATCTTTATATATAAAATATGGGAGTTGGACTTCCAAAATTACGAAATTTGGCACGCTGACTATACAACTTTTTAACACCTCATCATCCATGTTATCAAGAGCATTAAGTGAAATTTTCCTTATTAAAGTGATTAATATACATAATTACTTTATTTTCTTAGAAATAAAATTATATATTAAATTTTAAATAAGAGAGCAAAACTTTGGCAGAAATGAATAAAGTTGTATGATTTTTGTAACTTATTAAATTCCTTGTACATATTCTTATCTTTAATCCTTAATTATAATATTTGAGACTCAATCACTTAGAATTTCGACATATGAACTGTCTACTTGATACTTTTTTGACAACTCAATTGTCCACCTATGTTACTACCTACAGGGTATTGACTTAGGTAATTCAACTTGGGCTTTTTTAAGGATGTAAATACGGTGTAGGCCTACTTTATGGTACAAAATTCCATACCATAATTACGTAAAAAAAGCATAATCTTCATTACTGAAAATATGTTTATAATAAACAATATATTCAAATTTTAAAATAAATCTCAAATTAAAAAATTAAAACAATGAAATATAACCTTTATCTATAAAATTTGGGAGTTGGGCTTCCAAAATTACGACATTTGGCACGCTGACTATACAATTTTTTAAAACCTCATCATCCATGTCATAAAGAGCATTAATTGGAATTTTCCTTATTAAACGGCTGAATATACATAATTACTTTATTTTTTCAAAAATAAATTATGTATTAANCGACATATGAACTGTCTACTTGATACTTTTTTGACAACTCAATTGTCCACCTATGTTACTACCTACAGGGTATTGACTTAGGTAATTCAACTTGGGCTTTTTTAAGGATGTAAATACGGTGTAGGCCTACTTTATGGTACAAAATTCCATACCATAATTACGTAAAAAAAGCATAATCTTCATTACTGAAAATATGTTTATAATAAACAATATATTCAAATTTTAAAATAAATCTCAAATTAAAAAATTAAAACAATGAAATATAACCTTTATCTATAAAATTTGGGAGTTGGGCTTCCAAAATTACGACATTTGGCACGCTGACTATACAATTTTTTAAAACCTCATCATCCATGTCATAAAGAGCATTAATTGGAATTTTCCTTATTAAACGGCTGAATATACATAATTACTTTATTTTTTCAAAAATAAATTATGTATTAAAATTTAAATAAGAGAGAAAAACTTTGGCAGAAATGAATAAATTTTTATGATTTTTTGTAACTAATTAAATTCTTTGTACATATTCTTATCTTTAATCCTTAATTATAATATTTGAGACTCAATCACTTAGAATTTTGGCATATGAACGGTCTACTTGGTACTTTTTTGACAACTCAACTGTCCACCTATGTTACTATCTACGAGGTAATAACTTGGCTAATTCTATTTGGGCTTTTTTAAATATGCAAATATGGTGTAGGCCTACTTTATGGTACAAAATTCCACACCATAATTACGTAAAAAAAAGCATAATTTTCATTACTAAAAATATGTTTATAATAAACAATATGTTCAAATTTTAAAATAAATCTCAAATTAAAAAATTAAAATAATGATTTATATATAAAATTTGGGAGTTGGACTTCCAAAATTACGATATTTGGCCCGCTGATTATACAATTTTTTAACACCTCATCATCCATGTCATCAAGAGCATTAAGTGAAATTATCCTGATTAAAGCGCTTAATATACATAATTACTTTATTTTTTTCAGAAATAAAATTATATATTAAATTTTAAATAAGAGAAAAACTTTGGCGGAAATGAATAAATTTGTATGATTTTTTGTAACTAATTAAATTCTTTGTACATATTCTTATGTTTAATCCTTAATTATAATATTTGACACTCAATCAATTAGAATTTCGACATATGAACTGTCTACTTGGATTGGTACTTTTTTGACAACTCAACTGTCCACCTATGTTACTACCTACGGGGTAATGACTTAGTTAATTCTACTTGTGTTTTTTAAATATGCAAATATGGTTTAGGCCTACATTATGGTACAAAATTCGATACCTTAATTACGTAAAAAAAGAATAATGGCATGATTACTCATAAAAAAGTGATTGTGTTGAAAAGAAAAAATGGAATATTGAAAATAATCTAAGTCATGTTTGAAGGAATTATATCTGTTGCCAAGAAAAAGTTATCTCTTTGAAAATCAAACGGCTAGATTGAGGAAAATTCAATTGATTCGAGAACAAATGACAAGAAGACAAAGTTTGGACTCCTGCTATTAAAGAGCCACAGTCCAGAATTCTCGAATAAAAGCTAGAAGATGAATTCCATGACAAAGGAATCTCTCTTTAACAAAAGCTCATGTCCAAAGAGAAATTTCCAAGGACCATCCTCACGCTCCCTTAACTCAAATTGAGGCGAGCAAACGTAAGGCTAATCTATTCTCTTCAACGGATAGATTAAACCATCCAGCCACCTATATATAGCTCCTATGGAAGATTGAAGAAGACACTAATAACACAGTTAACCAATTTTGAAAATCACCACGAGAGAAAAATCCTCAATGCTTGAAAAAAAGAGAGAATTCAAAAACTCCCTTATCCAGAAGCAAACTTCTCCTTCTTCCAAAGAGTTATAAGTGAAAATACTTAAAGGTTACCTTGCCTCAAGTACAACACCAAGTTGATGGATCTTTTAATCAAACTTCTTGATTAAAATGGGGCACATCACGTTTCATACAAAACTGATCTTGCAAGTCCTATTGTTCGGTTCTTGAAGTTGTTGAAGAAGCTTGACCTTCGAAGGAACAACACAACCAGCACATGTGACGTAGCAACATTTGTTTTGTGAAGATATACCATGCTTTCACTATTCTAATTATTGGTTCACTTTCAACAACCAATTACCTAGTGGATTCTGAGGACGTAGAAGGATTACCCCACCTTCGAACCTCGTTAAAGTTTGCGTCTCTTTCTCTCTTATTTTTATGTGATTATTTTAAAGTGTGAAACTAACTGATCCATACTTGATTACTGCTTTAATAATCCACCAACTTCCGCACACTTAATCTAAGTTCTCAAGAACTTAAGATTAACTACTGTTTCTTATCAACTCACATTTTCAAAAAGAACGAAAAAGTTTTTAATTTGTATCAAAGTCTATTCACCCCCCTCTAGACTTTGTATCTCACCACTTCGAGGACTATCAGATGGTATTAAAGACCATCCATTTAAGAAAAACTATAATCCTTTTCCATACTTAATTTAAACAAAAAAACTATTGGAAAAAAACAATCTAACAAAATCAGAACGCAGTAAAGTAAAACAGTTCGATAAAGATAAGGATAGTTTAAGATAACGAAATAAATCCACAACCACCCTTCTAAACATTTTGTCACTCTCATTTTCCTCTGGGATAAACTCCAAGTTCATCATTTATACCTGCGTAGAGAAAAGATTACAACGATACGCTCATCATAGGTTGAGTGGTGACACTTGAAAGAGAATACGCACTGGTATACATTATAGGAACAAAGATATTCATACTTGTACTTAACGTACGTGTATCACATAGTGGTTCAATCAAAATAGAATAATATGAACTTCATGATGCATGAGTTAGCTGTGTAAGGATTGCTTGCGCTCCGAGATCAAACCACGAGGGTTATGATTCATGCAAACCTTAGTCTCAAAACGAGAATAGAATAATTGTGGGTTGAATATGAAAGCCTAGATTACCATGTATGTACACAAATCCCCTAGATGATATCTGTTGGACCGAAGGTTCCTGAACGGGCCTGCGTTAAGAGGTGCACTGGGCCTAACCTCTTAGGTGGTATGATATGATATGGTTGGTTTCCTACGTCATGTATTTATACCTTGCGTGATGATATGAATGAACATATAAACCTCTTAAATAGTACAAGGACATAACATGCATGATGGTAAACACTCAGTGGTAAATTGAAGGAACAATATTTGATAAAATATTAAGGTCAAAGCAGTAAAGGATTTTCGAATCTGGATTCGCAGAGATTGTGGGACTGTGACGGTCGACCGTTGGGTAGCTGCGGTTGAGGTAGAACTTTCGACGGTTGACCGTGCTTGTAGACCATCCATACCTTCTGGCTTGGACGGTCGAGGTGATGAGCCATGGAAGAAGATAATAGTCCACCATTTCTACCAGCGGTCAACTGTGACGTTGGTAGTAGCCTGGACACCATGCAACAATCCACCGTCCTTGACGGTGGTCAACCGTCATGATGGCACCGAGCAAGGCAGTGTTTCATTTTATCATTTCGTTTTACACATATTGCTCCATTTCTATTAGGTTATACACATGAACACTTAAGAACTTATTTATCTAATATTCCTTGGTGACTTCAAGCCAGGTTCGTAGTTATGTAGGCTCTAATGGATAGCTAAACTAACTACGAGATACGACATAGATTACGAACAAGTAATCCTACGAAGATAGCTATATCGAATAAAAATAAGGATTCTAATATTAGAGGGGCAACATACTTACCTCTAAAACGTGGTGGTCGAAGGACGGAGATGGCATTAACAATGGGTTATGTCTCACGAGAGTTCAACGTATAAACTCTTTCTTATTCCTATCCTTTTCTTCCTTCTCTTTTATTTCTTCTCTTAGCCCCTCCAGTCCTCTATTCCTTTGTGCTTCTGTCCGTCAAACCACAAGGGAGAGGGAGGGAGTTGGATGGTTTAGTATAGTGTGAAAGTGTTGGTGGAGTAAACTAGGAAAGGGAAGAGGAGAGGGGAGTGTATATAATAAAGGAATAAGGGGGAGATGAATGAATGTGAGGAATGGGGGGTGTGGACGGTGTAAAGAACATGTAAAATACAGTAACAATTTTTGTCACTCTATAATAAAGAATCTGACCTAAATGATACGTGTTTTTCCCTAAAACTGCTTCGAATCGAAAACCATTTGTGTTTCTGGAATGCGACAGTCAAAGTTAGCATTATGACGTGATCAAATCATTTTTCTCAAGAGTTTTATCTCCCAACCCATGTCCGTATTATTAATAAATTAATTAAGTCAATCAATTCTAATTTATCGGGTTGCAGGGCGTTACACCAATTGTAAGGCCATGCGGTGTGGAGGGGGAGGCATAGCCGTGATGGCTTATCTGGCGGCTACATCATCCCGTGATGGGCAGGGATCAACACCCCCCGAGTGTGATCGCGATACTCTACCTCTTATATATCTTAATTTTTATCCTCTCCCATAATATTTATTTATATCACATTATGGAACCATCATATTTGTAATTCCTCGGGAGACAAAGACAACATATAAGAAATTTTGAACAAATAACGGTTACGCCCGACCCAGCTCCTGTCCCGGAGAATGAGGTTGAAAACGTGCCGAAAATGCAACCTCCTAGAAAACCAAAGAGAATGCCATGCGCCAAGAGGGTTCGACGAGTTGGGTGGCCAAAAGACCGTGGATGCAGGTGGAAGAGTAACATTGGCCTGGGCGTGAGTGAGTTTTTCTGAAGACCCGATTAAAGGTTCATTTTTTTCCCAAGTAAATTGATTTACAAATTTTATCAAGTTTTTTTAATCATTTCATAACATATTTTCCTCATTTTTTGCAAGTAGGGATGAGCGTGATAAGCATGATCCACACCTGTGGACAGGGAATGAAAGTTCTAAGACTGAGGATTAGAAATTAAGGTCATGCGGATATCGTTGTGAACCTGATGGTCTCGGGGGTTACAAATAAGTGTGGAGGTCAGCTACCTGCTAGTGAGAGCCAGTGGGGGCCTCAACTCTCCTCCATTGAGAGATCTTTGGAGTTTGAGTGTGGGTCCCGGCAAGAGCTTGGATTCCACGACTCCCATAGAATTGATGTACATTTAGCCAAATAGGCAAGTTAAGTGAAGGATATGCAAGATATGGACTAAAATAAATGAACAATTGATCATGATATTCAATAGTGATATTTACTAATTCTTCAAATATTGTTTGATTATATATTGATGCATTCTAGTTAATGAATTAGTTCCAGCATCACATATTTACTCACTCAGCTTTCAGTTGAGCGTGTAGTCTTTGTTGTCTTTGACTACACGCAGGTATGGGTCAAGGATAGGACGAGCAGCCTGGAGGACAGTGATGTGTGACGTTGAGACGTTTTAATTAAGGCTTCTGCATTATTTGATTATTTACTCTGATTAAATTATGATTTGTTTTTAAATAAGTATGATTGAATGTTTTATTTTAATTGCTTTTGAATAATTGTGCATGCGAATACCAAATTAGTAACAACCCGATTTTGGTATTTGATATGTAATTTTAGCATCATAAAAGCACAGCTCTTGTTGAAAACCATTTGGTATTTGATATGTAATTTTACAATTAGGGCGTTTTGTTTGGTGTATAAATTTTGATATAACTATAAAATAAAAATAATTTTTTTATATCTACACTAATATTAAAATAAATTACTAACTTAAAAATAATAAGAGATGATGTGATGAAATTAGTTTGTCATTGTGAGTGATAGAGTATTAAACAATCAATAAAAACTACTCATGAAATGTTTGTGGTAAAAAAAGTTCAATATCATTTTGGAGCTTTTCCATGTAAAAGCTATGATGCAATTCACTTTTCCAAATTTTTTATACTACGTATTATTCTAAAATTTTGAATTGCATCTTAGTTTTTTCACCGAAATTCTTCAAACATGAATTAACCTACGACGTCGTGTCTCCTTCTTTCACCGGAATTAGTGTATTCTAGTTGTAATATTTTTTTATTACACGGTATGGGAAGGTATTCTAAGACGACTTCCAACCGATATTGAAATCCTATATTGAAAATAAGGGTGTAAACCTATATTAATCGGATTAGATGTGTCATTATTAAATCTGGATCCGTTTATTTTTTTCGGATATCAAAATGGGATACGGATCTCGACGGATATTGAAAATTAAAACTGTATCTGCACCCGTCGGATATGGGTCGGATATCGGATATATCCGTATACGTTTCCAATTTTTAAAATTAAATTAAAGAATACTTTAATTTTAAATTAGATTAAAGTCAAAATATTTTTAAATCAACTATAATTTGTTATGGGATAATTATTTTCTTTGTTTTCATTATTTATGATATTCTACGATAACTTAATATGATAAAAACTTAAAAAGATATACACAGCACACATATACACATATTTTTATGTCTTCACATATTTTTATGTATCTACACATTTATTTTGTATAAAAAAATGTTTTATGCTTTGAAATATCAATACAGAAACAAAATATAGACATAAAAAAATTAGGAAAAACTATATATAACGGATCGGATATTCGGATAAACGGTTATTTAAACGAATGCATATTCGGATCAGATTTTAAACGGATCGGATATACAATTACCAAAATCATATCCGTGTAGTAATCAGTTATCCTTAATCGAATACAGATAATATCCGTTCAAAACGAATGCGGATATTGTCTCTTTAAACGGAGATGGATGCGGACGATTATCATATTTTTGGCTATCCGTTGACTACCCTAATTGAAAGAAATAATAAGCAGTTACACCTTATACTAGAGGTGATAATCGGGTCAATCAGATCAATTTCGGATTGAATTTTTTCGGTTCAGATATTTTTCGGATATATGTTATAATTGGTTTGGTTCGGTTCTATACATTTCTCAGTTTTGATTCGGTTTCGAGTTGGTCCAGATATGGTTCGTATATAAATCGATTCGGATAGATTTCAATTCGGATACAAGTTGGATTGGATATATTTCTATTTCGAATCTAGTTTGGTTTGGATATATTTCGCTTTCAGATATGTTTTTGTTAAGATATATTTTGGATATATATATATATATAGACACACACACACACACACATATATATATATTATTTCCTAATTAAAATTTAATTATTCGTGTTTTTTTGTTTTATCACAAATATCAATCTATCATCAATTCAAGAATTTATATTATTTTATATTTTTTTCTAATTATACTATCTTCACCCTAAGATTGTTAATTATATTCTTACTATATTTAATATTAATGTATATTGGTAGCTACCATATTTGTATAGGGTGTATTAATTATTGTTTCCTATTGTCATTAGGAAACCTTTGTATATATACACATGTAATCTCCCATAATAATTCATTGGAAATTATTCATTCTACATGGTATCGGAGCCCTAATTCTCGGCTTCCGTCTCCTCCCTCTCTCTCTCGATCGGCAAATCTCCCCCCCACCAACCGATCGTCTCCCCTCTCCCTCTCGGCAACCATGGCCGACTCCTCCTCCTCCGGCAAGGTGACTTCAACCTCCGACAACTCTTCCTCCAACAACTCTCCCCATCTCGCCTTTACAACTATATCAAACATCAAACTCCATATCCCCGTGCAACTCAGTGTGTCAGAGCCAAATTACAAAAAGTGGAGTCGCTTATTCCGCCTCTTGATTCTTTGCTTCAATCTCAAGGGATTCATTGACAGCACCACCCTCGCCTCTTCTTCGGATGATGCCGAATGGTATCAATTTGTTGCCCTAATTCAAGGGTGGATCTTGTGCACTATTACGGACGAGGTTTGTGATCTCGTTCTTGCCAATAATCTCTCTGCCCATGCACTATGGAAAGCTATCTACAATCTCTTCCACGACAACAAGCATGCACGGGCGATGCAATTGGAACATCGCTTTCGCACGGCAACCGATCCATCAACAAATATTGTCTCCTTCTCTCAGACCTCTCTGAACACCTTGATGATGTTGATGCCCCGGTGACCGAGCATGCTCTTGTTTTATAGGTTCTCCAAGGATTACCCCACGACATCCATAGCATTACTCCTCATCAAACAGCAGCAATCCGACTCCATTCACGGCGCCGGCGCACCGCCCACTGCCCTCCTTAGCACCGGTAGTGATGGCGGCTTTGGGAGCGGCGCACAGCGGCAGGACCGGACGAACGGGTGTGGCTACGGCGGACATGACAGAGCTCCTGGCGGTGGCAGTGGTGGAGGCGGAAACTGCGGTAGGGGCCGCGGTCGAGGGCGTGGCGGCCCTATCACCCAGCACCCCAAGCTCACTTCACCCATAGCCCATACCCCTCCTACCCACCCAATTCCCCAATTCCCCCAACCCACGACCCACTCCACTATTCCCCAACCAACTACCCGCAGCCCAACCCAAATCCCCTCACCCAGCCCGCCTCCCCTTACCCGTACCCAACCCAGCCACACCCCAACCCATACCCAAACCCGCCCCACTTCACCACCCCACCCAACCCCACCGCCCTAGCCCATAACCTCGAGAACCTTACCCTTACCCACACCAACCCTACCTGGTTCATGGACACCAGAGCCTCCCACTATATCACAACCAATCCAGGTACTTTATCTCATGTATTTTCTTCAGACATTAATTCACCTATTCATATTATTGTTGGTAATGGTTCTAAAGTAAGCACTACTAGTCACGGTAATGGTACCCTCACCAGATCCCCTCCCCTCATCCTAAACAATGTCCTTGTTTCCCCTCATATCATACATAACCTCATCTCTATCCGTTAATTTACTCGTGATAATAATTGCACTCTTGAATTTGATTCATGTGGTTTCTCTGTTAAGGACAACCTGACGGGACCCGTGATTTATCGATCCAATAGTGACGGACCTCTCTATACTATCTCCCAAGTCAACTCCAGCGCTCAACTTCATGTAGCACAAGTCGATCTCCCCACCTGACATCACCATCTTGGACACCCCAGCCCAGCTATTCTCCATGGAGTGTCACATTCTTTAGATAGATTAGCTAAATCTAAATTAGATCTTTTATGTCATGCATGTCAACTAGGCAAATATATTCTCCTACCTTTTAAGTCTTCAAGTCGTATTACTACTTTCCCTTTCAATTAATGCATACAGACTTATGGCAATCTCCTGTTCCTAGTGTAACTGGTTTTAAATTTTATATGTTTTTACTTGATGATTTCTCCCATTAGTTATGGATCTCCCCCTCCACCATAAATCTGATGCCTATTCTCATCTTGTCAAATTTCATGCGCTTGTTAAGAACCAATTTAACACCACAATAAAATCAGTACAATGTGATAATGGCACCGAATATAGAAACACCCCACTTGCCACGTTCTTTGAATCCCTGAGTATCCTCTTTCGCTTCTCTTGCCCCTACACTAGCCAATAAAATGGCCGCGCAGAACGAACCATCCGCACTTTAAATAACACCGTTCGCACCCTACTCTTTCAAGCTAATCTCCCCCCTAAATTTTGGGTCGAAGCCTTACACATGGCTACCCACCTCTTCAATATCCTTCCCACCACCACTCTAAACAATCGCACCCCTTATGAAGCTCTATATCGCACTCCCCTGTCTTACACACACCTTCGCGTCTTCGGTTGCCTCTGCTATCCTAACCTTTCTGCCACTGCCCCCATAAGCTAGCCCCACGTTGCGGCCGGTGTATCTTCCTTGGTTACCTAGAGTCTCATCGCGGCTACCGATGCTTGGATCTCACTACTCATAAGATCATCATCTCTTTCCATGTC